TTTGTGATTTAAGTTATTCAGTTTGGTTGGGTTGAGTTAGGTTATTCTAAAAAATATCAGCGTCGTTTGTTGAAGAATTGAATGGATTCGGAAGGCATGCTAAAGGGTTTACATTATGGAAATATGTGACACTAGCTATTTTTGGGTCATATGAAAGGAAGGGAATTCAAGAATTTTTTAAGATCGAAGTGCAATGCTCGAAGGACTATGGAACCATATTCATTTTATTGCTTCATTTTGGGTTTCGGTGTCTAAGGATTTTAAAGATACTCCACTTTTTGCTATTTTGGCGAATTGGAGAGTTTCAATAAAGCATGTTTTCTTTTGTTGTAGTTTTTTTTCATGGCTGGATTCCTTGTTCAACCTCTTTGATGTATTTGTATATTTTATTAATATATCTCAATTATATTTCCTATCAAAAAGATTAATTGTGTTGAATTCAACCACTGATATAGTGTTATATAAGGCGTAAAGCAAATTGAACCGAACCGGTCTCCTGAGGGCCTAGGCTAGAAGCGACAAGCGAAGCGAGCACTTCATCGAAACAAAGCACACAATATAAAAAATAAGCAAATATTTTAGTTTGATATTTTGATTACTCCTAAATATTCAAGTTTTACTTTTACAAATACAAAATATTTAAATTCAACCAAAATAATAAATATCAACATATTTTAAATAGATAAGATATTAAATATTGAACATTATTGTATTAAAAAAATAACCGATTGACATAATCACGTCATCTAAATGTAAAGCTAGCAAATGTGGGTTTAACTTCCACCGTGATCGATTAATATCACCACTAAACATAGCACTCACAAATTGATTAATCAAATAGAGCATATAGCAAATTAATTAATAAGAGCATTCACAACAAAACTGAGCATTCAACATCATCTAATCATAATAAGATAAATTGTCATATGTTACTGTTCGATGAATCAATCAATTTATTTTATACATATACACATATAACATCATCTCTACTAGGATTTGATTAATGTTAAGCAGTGTTGTGAAAAGCGCGCCTAGGTGAGAAACGAAGTGAAGTGAGCCTTGGTCACCTTAAACATCCAAGGCGAAGCGAGAAAAAAGCGAGCTTAAGCGACGAAGCGAGCCAGGCGAGAAAAGCGAACGCCTAATTGCAGTTTTTTATTTTCTCCTTCTCCTCCCCCCACCTCTTCCTCCCCCCTCCTCCTCCTCCTCCTCCTCCTCCTCCTCCTCTTCTTTCTTCTTTAACATTAACTAAGCCCTAGCAGAGATTATATTATATGTGTATATGTATGAAATAAATTGATTGATTTGTGTAACAGTATTATATGACAATCTGTCTTATTATGATTAGATAATGTTGAATGTTTTGTTTTGAGGTGAATGTTTTTGTTAATCAATTTGCTATATGCTCTTTTTGATTAATCAATTTGTGGGTGTTTTTTTTAGTGGTGATTTTAATTAATTATGGTGGAAGTCGAACCCACATTTGCTAACTTTACATTTAGAAGACGTGATTATGTCAATTAATTATTTTTACAATACAATAATGTTCAATATTTAATATCTTGTCTATTTAAAATATGTTGATGTTTATAATTTTGATTGCATTTAAATATTTTATATTTGTAAAGTTAAAACTTGAATGTTTTAGAGTAATTAAAGTATGAAACTAAAATATTTATTTATTTTTTATATTGTTCGCTTTGCTTTAATGAAGCGCTCGCTTCGCTTCTCACCTAGGCTCTTAAGAGACTGGTTCGTTTCGATTTGCTTTATGCTTTAAATAACACTGATGTTAAGGAAGAAGAAGAAGAAGGATGAGGGGAGGAGGAGAAAATAAAAAAACTGCATTCAGGCGTTCTCTTTTCTCGCCTGGCTCACTTCGTCGTCTAGGCTCGCTTTTTCCTCGTTTTACTTAACCTCACTTTGCCTGGGATGTTCAAGGTGACCAAGGCTCGCTTCGCTTCTCGCCTGGGCTCATTTTTCACAACACTGCACTTATCTAGTGGCCCCTGTATACCCTCTTATCCTTAATCTGTCTTTAATTTCATGGTGCTGCCACTCGTCATGTTGAGAAATTTTTAGATGCTCCTGGCTATGAATTGACTCTTTACATCTACTGGCATCCTAAATGGTTGAATGAAATCTTATTATGGCTTGTGATAGTTGTTTGAAGACAGTTGGTCGCGATTTTATAAAAAAAATGTAACGTTTTAGTGAGACAGATGGCCCAGTTTTAAGTTATGGTTGAGAAGAGGAATATATGGCTTGGAAGACAATCCCTGAGTAGAAAACATGCTTTATTGTCTTCCAATTTCTGCCAGTGACAAGTTGATGAAATGATTAATTATGCATAACTTTGTTTCGTTAAGGCAAACTCAAGTTCCTTTAGAAATTCAATTTTATGAATTATTTAGAGACCAGCCCACCAAAAAAAAATGACCTCCTTTGCAGGCAAGTTTCATTTCTGCTAGTGTTTTTTTGTTCATTACAAGTGATAAGTTGTACTTTATTCACACAAGAGACACTAGAGATATGAGCCTTCGGTGAGTAAATGGCACCCCAGTTGGTGAAGATAAAGCCCGAGTTTTGTTGTTTGCCATCACCGGAGTGACAGATAGTAAGCAGTTGTCTATTTGAACAAGAGACTATATAGAGATGGGAGTCTTTGGTGAATAAATGGCACCCCAGTTGCTGAAGATAAAAACTGAGAGAGTTGAAGGAAGATGGTGATTTCATCATGACTTGATGTTGATTAAACTACTGTCATTGTGCATCTTGTCTATATGCTCTGATTACTACTATAGGATGTCTGCAATTGTCAACTAACTGCAATACTGATTGGTTATTTGATTTATTAAAACTTATTTTGTTTTTTCGGTGATTACTATAACTTTCATTACATGTGTTGTGCTCCTCAGGACCCTTGCTCTGAATGGAGGAAGTGATCACCGCTGATCATTTGTGATGGTGGTGCTGTTGGGGTCTCATCTATATGTTTCTCCTTCCAGAAACAGGTGAAAGATTTTGAAGGTCATTCTTCTTTCAAAAGACATGCATTCTTGGTTGGGACAGTCCTTTTAATCCTGTGATCCAATGGCACCATCTCTTCAAGCATACCTAAATCAACTTTCCCTGTACCCACATGATTGTGGTAGATTCTCTTTTACTGGATAGTATACCAATCAAATGCGAATAAGCAACTGGAGCATTACAAATTTTATAGGTTTGATATTCACCCTTTTTTTCAGCTTAAATATAGGGCATAGTTTTTATGCTATGAAATGATGCATTCAATTATGATGTTTACAACCTTAGGAATTGGGCAAAGCAAAGTGGTGGAACAAATCGAACTAAGGCATTCTAAGTATGTATGAATTTGTATTGTTACTGTTATTTCATTTAGACTTACAAATGGGAATACAAGAGGACTTATTGATGGAAATACGTGAGGTAAACATAGTCTACAATTAACTTTGAATGAGATAGTAAAAAAAAAAAAGATGTTTCAGCGTCTCTCCTTGGTCAGTAGGGAGGTGCATCTCAAAGTATGGGACAAAGGATCAAGCGTTTTGACTTTGTCCTCCAGGATCCACCACAAGTTGGGTTGAGAGCCGTGTGATGGGTGACTATCCAGCACGGTTTAGAGAGCACAATGGAAGAAAAAGATTCATTGCTTCCAAATGGTGGGGATAGGTGTGTCTCGAGTTAAATTGATTTTTTACTTTTGTTTTACATTTGGATTGAGAGTGTTTGTTCTCCTGCTGTGGAATCCAGTGTTCTGTCGCCCATCTCCTGAATGGTTAGGGTTGCAAAGCATTGTTCTTGTTTTTGAGGTTATGTTTGCTATTTTCTTATCGGATGGCTCAGTTTCCGTAGCATTTTAGAAACAAGATGCAAACAGATAAAAAAAAAATTAGAATGTGGAGGCCCTCGAAACATTGCTAAAGTATGAAAATTTTGATTCCCTATCACTGATTTGTTCTGGTGTTCACTAAAATCAAAATATTTTGGTGGGAATGAACGAACTTTGATGGTGACAGTAGTGTTTATTCCAAACCGAACAGAGCATACTCTTAACATTACTTTTTGGGACTGGCATTCGTAGTTCAGTGGTGGGATTGAGCGTATAGCAAACCGTAAATTCACACGTTTTGAATTCAATTCTCACTTATCTGATTAGCAAATGACTGTAGGTATCTAAAATTTATTGGGTCCAAGCTTTGGAGAGGTTCATTGTTATTAAAATTGAGGGGAAAAAACCATACTCTTGGGACCATTTTGGTACGTCGCTTGTCATGTGCAAAGCTCATAGTTTTCAACCAATACTTGGATTAAGAAGACAATGGCTTCTATTCATAATGTAGAATTGTTGCATAATGTAAAATCATGAATGTTGGATAAAGGTTCTTTTGGAGATCCAAAATAAGTATTGCCACGAATCCGATACGAAATGAATACAAAATTAAAAAGTTTAAGTTTAACGAGTTCGGATGGTCAATGAGTCTGTCAGACCCGCTTAATTAATGGATCAACACTAAGAAGGTTATACATAATGTAAACCAGATTGAATGTAAAACAAGCCTGGCTAAATATGACATATACTTGACAAAACACGCACCTAATTATACATGGATCTAAGTGAATCAGGTATGAGTTAAGCAAATTTTAACACGATAAGAATTATTTGACTTAAAAACACAATACGTTACAAGGCATTGTTTGCTGTCAAGGGTAGCCAAGAGAGAGTCCAGGTCTTTTTGCGCAATTTCAAAACCAAGACATGTCAATTATCCNGGCATTGTTTGCTGTCAAGGGTAGCCAAGAGAGAGTCCAGGTCTTTTTGCGCAATTTCAAAACCAAGACATATCAATTATCATCACATGGCCATAGAATAGGTTAAAAGGCCAGTACAGGGCAACTAAGACATACTCAGCAAGCTTACTTTAAGACTATCATATCTACAACTCTGCACATTTACTCTGTTGCTGCTTGTTATGTTTATATGTTCCCAAGTCAAGTTTTTGTAAAATAAAAGTCGGTACATACAGGTTGGGATTATAATCCAGTACCAAAGTTCCTGATTTAGATCAGAACTTGCTATTCCGAAAGCAAAATTTTTGAATGAGATAGATTTTCTAACCTTATTCTGCACAAAGTTTCTGTATGAAAACTATTGTATAACATCCTACAAATTACAATCATGAACCTACAAAATTTTGCATCCAAGGGAAAAAATAAGAGGAAAAAAAAACTATAACTCATTTTCAATGATCAGTTCAGCGGCTGCGCCCATTGTCCCAACCCCACCAGCCCCCAGTAAAGCAAGAGCAAGCTCCTCCTCATTCCATTGTCTCAATCCTTTACTTAATCTTTTTAGTACCTCTGCATCCACTTCCAACACCCAAGTTGGTGTACAACCAATCATCAGGCTCACAAGGCCCGACACATAGGCTCGCCAAGTGGTCGGATCACAGCCAAGTGATATCTTCCCATCAAGGGCACTTGCTAGAAATTCCATGTGGTACCCAAGAATTTTTGGACGACGCTTTGATGCTGATGAGGATGAGTCAACTCCCCAAGCAAAAGCTCCACAAAGCAAAGCAAAGTAAGCTAGTGCGTATCCCCAAAGCATTACAACCATCCCTCCTGAACACTGGTCCTGCTCGGATCGGTGAGCAGATATGAACCAAGAAGGCAGTGTTTCTTTTATCAATGATTGAACTAGCCCCAATCCACCAGATAACCACACCAAAGAAGCCCCTAGCAAAGCAGCTAGTTTTACTTTGGTCATTGCTGTAGCAAGTGAAACATGACCATATCTCATTCTGCTTTTTGGCCCACTGCATGTTATGTCTCTCATGGATTGAATCAATTGGTAAACAATCTCTTCTCTCAAAAACATGATATCTCTGATTGATCGATAAACACGTAAATATAGGATCCCTGGAGCAACTGGAGAGATCCCACTATAAAAATGAGATCCAAATCCATGGCCAAGAAGAGCTCCAACACCGCCATTGCTTGAGATAGAGGTGGTATTCAGGCCAAGAGTGGCAGTGAAGCAACTTTTGAGAAGCTGAACCACTGCATCATTGTTGTGGAGGAAGACAGTACGTGAGGAAGAAAAGACAAGATAATCACTCCAGCGTTTTGCCTTTTGGCTCCATAAGGAAGACACAATCGGCATGCATGGCCATGGGCAACCTGCTGCAAGGGACTCCAAGGCTGGGCCAGCCAGATTCAGAAAACGTTGCGAGGCGTTATCAAGTTTGTAGGTTATAGTGAGGCTCACAAAGGCAGCCAAGGGCAGCGGAAGTGTAGCTGGAGAGCTTCCCCCTGCAAGAAAGAGGAGTTCCAATCGTTATAGGAAAAATAGTTTAGAAAATGGCAAACAAAAATCATTCTTCTAACCCTGGTTTAACAACCAAAGTTTCCACAGGAATATGGAGCACTTGTGTATGCCGCTTCAGACAAAATATGGGACACATTAAGAGTTGACATTCATCGCACTTGTTTTTACAATTTAAAGTTCTTGACCTCTGATATTGTCCTTCTAGAATTGACAAGGACATATAGTGTAGCATAAGTAGGCAGCTTCAATCCTTTGTATACATAATTCTTCTCATACTGACGTGCATATCCTAGAAAAGTGCAACCAATTGAATATTGTGACTGTAAGGATAGAAAACCTGCAAAAAGGCTTGGAACATCAACACCAGTGGCAGCTAGAATTTTTTTGATCTGTTCCTCAACATTGGATTGATTTGCAGCAGGACTTGGCCAATCCGTTCCATTCATGAAAACTGGTTTCCAAACACCACGAGTTACTTCAGCTGAGAAGTAACTTACAATGGTTGCCAAAGATGCAGGAAGAAAATCAGCTAAATCTTTAAGTCCTGAAACAAAATACGAATTATAATATAAGAGGAAAGCCAAACCAGGATATGTTTTACTGGATGCTACAGGTGACAGTAAACAGATTCTTTTGTGCTACACTGAAACTAAGAAAAGTCTTAGCATAGTAATCTGAGGAAATCCTAAATACTATGGCAGATAAAACACATATTCAGATCAGGATATCAATGTCAAATCAGGGTCAACAAGGACAGAAGAGAAAACATTTGGTCGAACTCTTCTGCATGTAAGGAATGAATCACTTACAGGAACTCAAGACATGCACAACACACTAACCAGTACAGAATTCGCGAGGAGACAGATTTCCATGTGCACATGCAGTTAGAGCAGCATCAACTACAAAAGGAACAGCTTCAAGGATATCCCATGCAGGTAATTTGGGCCTTAAAGAAGTCTCTCCACTTCCGGGACTGGACAAAATACTACTTTCAGATGTTACAGTAGTAAAAGTCTGGCTTCCTCTGTTAATCTTACTGAACATCATGTTAAGAAGTCCATCAACAATCTGATGGACAGGGGTCCCAGGAACAAGACCCGAGAGCGTTGAAGCAATAAATGCTTGATGCTGCCGGTACCATACTTTTAATTTTGGAAATGAATCCACAAATATTGGTTCAGGAGATGATGAACTTGCAATGGCTGCGAGTCTCCTCTTATTTTGATCCTGGTGGTTGTTTTTACACGATACCAGGTGTGAATTCCTTACCGATAAGAGGTACTCAGGAGTTAGTTGGGTTCCTACAGGTGGTACATCTCCCACTCCATGTTCAAGAGGTGGATGATTAAATCTCCATAGCTTCAAAAGAAGCGCAAATGCATTTGAAAAGACAGCATGGGCAGAGATTTCATCTCCTGATGTAAGAGTCCATGAGACATTGGGGACAGAAGACCCAAATACCTCACAGATTGGCATCAATGAAGCAGCAAGTTGAGGAACCTGGTAAAAGCAAACAACATTAGTTCGTAGTTGACATGAAAGTCTCAATAATCACCCACCCCTCACTCTTGTGCATTTTTCTCATTTGGATGAATACCAATTCCACCCCTTTCCTTAACTTCTCCTTTTTGCTTGAGAAGAACTGTCGGTTGAGATACAGCAACATAAAGAATAAGCCTGCCCGTCCAACTTAAGGTTCAATTTTTGACTAAAACACTTTCTTTAGCATCACTCCATCACCCTTGAACTAGTTTTAGCTTAAAAGGGTTGAGCCCTATCACTCATCTAGGTGAAGTCGTTAATAAATGCACGTGGCATAAGTTACCATCCCAATACCATGTTAACAACAAGAAGGTCCAATTAAAGATACATTTTAAATGAGAAATAACTGTACAGAAGTTACTTTCTGTTATCCAAATATCATCTGCATGAAGGAATTCTGGGTCAGAAAAAGCTGAACATACCAAGCCATGTAGGGAGAAAATCTGAAAACATTCAACGGATGCTATTCCAACAAGGAGGACATTCAGCATTGGAGCATAATCTATCAAATGGCTGTCACTCCCAGAATAATTGGCAGGAACAGGTGGGGACAAAAGTCTAGTTACAAAATAAATGGTGTGTTCCTGCAAGCATCATGACCAAAACTCAATTAGAGCAGTTGGTTGGCTCGCAAATGAAATCAATCTATAGCATTGTGCAGCTAGGCTAGGAATACTACTGTAAACAAGTACTTTCAATTCATTACCTGTATATTCCACCCACAAGTCAAAGAGGCCCCAGAAAGAATTGTAGCAGCACCTATCCTCTCATCGTCTGATCCATTGACTGCAATCTCAAAAATTTTCTCGAGCTCTGCTAAGCTTCCATCAAATCCATGAGCTTAAATTCAGTTGCTTAACCCTTGGATAAATCAATAAAAAAAAAGAGCATCTGACATACCTGGCTTCAGGAAATAAAAATCTGTAACTGAAGACCAGGCGACATTCACAAATATAGAAGGGGATCTAAAGTTTATTGACATTGCATCACCGTTATACTTTCATTCATTTGAAGACGCCATCAATAAGATAAAAATACTAATCTGCAGTGATATTCCAACAAGAATTATTGCAAACCAAACCAACCCAAGGCTTGTCCCGATTATTTAGTTTCCGCTACATAAATCATTATCGTGATTCTATTTTGTCAAGGGATACATGCCCACTTAAAATTACACGTATTTTTTCTCACTCCATCATTCCAAGTCAACTTCTGTCTTCCCCACCCTTGGCGTTTCCACTAACAGAGAACTTCACATTCTTCCTCACTCATGCATCTGTTGGTCTTCTTTGATTGGAATCCCTAGTCTCCCCCAAAGTATTGCTTTGAACNCATGCCCACTTAAAATTACACGTATTTTTTCTCACTCCATCATTCCAAGTCAACTTCGGTCTTCCCCACCCTTAGCGTTTCCACTAACAGAGATCTTCACATTCTTCCTCACTCATGCATCTGTTGGTCTTCTTTGATTGGAATCCCTAGTCTCCCCCAAAGTATTGCTTTGAACATATAATCCAAAAGATAGAGTTGCATTCTCTTTGTTGATGCCCCAGAAACACTCTCCTATCAAGAATCTAGGCTGGTCAAGAGATCACTTATAGCCAACCCCATCGCATTCCATCATTTAATAAATTATTATATGTCAAAAACCAAGATTATGGAGATACCCTTGCTATACAAAAATTCCAATTCAATTGTTAAAAATTAACTGTAGGTGCCAAATCAGAGTACAGGCTTCATGGAATGACTTAGGGGTAGNGAGATCACTTATAGCCAACCCCATCGCATTCCATCATTTAATAAATTATTATATGTCCAAACCAAGATTATGGAGATACCCTTGCTATACAAAAATTCCAATTCAATTGTTAAATATTAACTGTAGGTGCCAAATCAGAGTACAGGCTTCATGGAATGACTTAGGGGTAGAAGCTTGGTGTTAATGAAGTTCTAACAATGGAAATCAGAGTTAATCAATTATTATGAATTTTGGAAAGAAAGAACAGCATGAATACCTTGAAGCAGGAGTTGAAACTAAAGCATTTATCATCAGTTGAGTAAGTGGTGCCCCCCTCATGAATGATGACCAACCAGGAGCTTGAGCAGGCACACTGTGAGGTACTTGGTTGCCAAGTCCACTCACATAGCCCGGCCAGAAATACACTGAGGTGTCCAATAGGTTTCTAGCAATACATGCCTCAACTATCAGATGACGCAAGTTTCCACCTGCAAACAAAGATATAAAACCTGGTAAGCTTAGACAATCTCGTGGATATCATAAGACCACATAAACTTCCTAAGTTTCATTTCAGTTTCAGAAAGAAAAAGTTCACTACATTAGGNACCAGGAGCTTGAGCAGGCACACTGTGAGGTACTTGGTTGCCAAGTCCACTCACATAGCCCGGCCAGAAATACACTGAGGTGTCCAATAGGTTTCTAGCAATACATGCCTCAACTATCAGATGACGCAAGTTTCCACCTGCAAACAAAGATATAAAACCTGGTAAGCTTAGACAATCTCATGGATATCATAAGACCACATAAACTTCCTATGTTTCATTTCAGTTTCAGAAAGAAAAAGTTCACTACATTAGAATTGATTCAATAATTTACCTTGTTGATTGAACTGAGACATTTTTTCAGAGAAGGCTTTGAAATCAACTCTACAGAGGTTTATGGGATATGTAGTATGGCATTTTGTAGGAGAAGGCTTTGAACATATCCATGTCCAGAGCCGTAGCATCTAATATATTCTGCATCGACATTGTCCCACATTTTGGGAATTCAAAAAAGAAGAAAGAAAGAAAAGAAGAAAAAGCTTGCAGCTAGTGGCAGTCCGTTTGAGAACCTAGAGGAGTAAATTGGGTATAGATTGACCCTCCAGATTTATTTGCATGAAGGGATAGCGTCAAAACTAAAAGACATGTTTCCATTGTAGTCACCCAAGCTTTTGTAGAGCCCCTACTCCCCAGCCTTTTTTAAACAACTACCATTTATTTTACTATTTCCCACATTTCAAGCTTTGAAAAGATTTTTACNGTAGAATCCCAACCCTTGTTGACGTAATAAAGAATTCCCAGAGAAATTATAACTTCAAATTTTTTAAGAATCTTGAATATAGAAAAAGGCTGAGACTGACAAATATTTGTGAGCAACGAAAAGATCCAACCCTTTGAACAAGACGCAGAGACGCCATCCATAGACCTAAAAAGCTGTCATGCCAAGTACTGCCATTAATTGCTTGGAGGGCCTTTATCAAGCCTGTCATATAGAACCATAAGTTTTCTTCCATTAGACACAGCTTGAACAGAGTACCACCGTTTCTCATCAAGCTGAATTTCNGAGACTGACAAATATTTGTGAGCAACGAAAAGATCCAACCCTTTGAACAAGACGCAGAGACGCCATCCATAGACCTAAAAAGCTGTCATGCCAAGTACTGCCATTAATTGCTTGGAGGGCCTTTATCAAACCTGTCATATAGAACCATAAGTTTTCTTCCATTAGACACAGCTTGAACAGAGTACCACCGTTTCTCATCAAGCTGAATTTTGAGGATAAAGTAGGATTTCGAGTTACCAGTAATAATTTCAATGGCACTTGTTGCACTAACTTGAAAACCATCCACAGCGTCTTCTAGCACCAGATCAAGAGGAATCCAAAGAGCAGAACGATTAGCTCCCTGACAAAGACCAGCAGAAGGAACAAGAGAACCAGAAGCCATAATCGCATGCAGTGAACTTGTTTTGCATTCCGAAGATAAAAATTTGTGAGTATCTGATGTCAACTGCAGAAGAACATCTGGAGTCATAATTGTTGAATTACTCAGAGCAGATGAATTTTCTACAAGTAGCTGTATTCGCAGGATGAACTCTTCCCAATGAGCGGGCCTGACAAAGTGGCAAGAAATACGAATAAAACATCTGTCATTCTAAATGAAGGCCGAGGAGTGACTAAACTTGTAATACCTGACATGACTGCCAAGGATGTAAGAGAATTGGTGAACCTAAAAGGAGTGGAAAGCCGCACAAATAGTATTTAAAGTTTCTAGAATGAGAATGATTTGATACAATACTCCATTAGATGGAAATTCGGTGCATTTTAAGATTAAAGAATAATACATCAGATCTAATGTCATGGTTATAAATATGCCAAGCGACCTATTATATTCACTTTGAGTCCACCATCCACAATCAAATTAAGAAATGCATAATGTTCGAAAAGTAATTGTAAAAGGAATGACGTTCTCACATGTTTCGTTGTGCTAAGTAAAGAATCCTGGAAGTAGCTCTATTTTGCAGAAATAGANCATAATGTTCGAAAAGTAATTGTAAAAGGAATGACGTTCTCACATGTTTCGTTGTGCCAAGTAAAGAATCCTGGAAGTTGCTCTATTTTGCAGAAATCGGCCTATTAACTCTATGGCCATCACGGTGTTAATATTCTGCAATCTATCTTGATGTTCCATCCTCTTCTCAGCATAACTACCATGGCCATCTACTTCCACATCTTGAGGTTTAGTTTCCCACCGATGCTTCTTCTCAGGAAGAAGTTCCAGCAATCCTTCATCATCTAAGGATGCATCAAGTAACTGCCAAACAATTGAAAAGACAACCTCAACCATAAGAATGCCAGGTTCACTTGCTTGAAGACCAAATGTTTGAGAAAGATGGAGGGCAGTGTCTATTGATTTCATGGCCCTGCATGACGAATTAAGGATAAAAATAACCAATAAAAGCAATGTCCCCTAAATGGAAATCCTCATTACCAAAAAGAGAAATGACTCTACGAAATCTCATCAATATCATATATATCCAGCTCAATCAATGCTATTGTATACAGGAAAGATCATAGAATTTTTGCTCAGGCTTTCCCAGCCTTGATTTCCTCAAGTCAGTATTTACCTGAAGTAGTTCTCCAAAATGGTACAATTTGACAACATCAATGAATTAATATGGTAAACGAGAAGGCAAAAGAACCAAAGCTTAAGTTTGTTTGACAGCACGAATCAAAAAGGCTGTCAATAAGTTTTGTTCTCCTCATATGATACATAAGGCAGGAATCAAGACTAACTTTTGGTAATTCGGCACAGTTATATAAGATTTAGTAGTGAAAGCATGTCTCTTTAGGAGTTCCATAAAGAGCCTAAATGCTGCTGGCCGAGAACTTCGATTAGGAATAACCCTGTAGAAAAGGAACAAAACAATGAGTGCACCACAAAAGCGACATGTCAAAAAGAAAGTAACACAACTAGCAAAGAGCATTTCCTTAAGGATGATTCTGTCAAATATTTCAGTCAGCAAGATGCCACTTTGCAAAATCAGGGAGACAATAAACGTCACACATTGTTCTGCATTATAAAGTATATCTCCTACGACCAACTAATCTCAATGAAGATTATGTAAATATTAAAAAGATAAGAAATAAGGATGTTATGCTGCACAGCCTGCACATAAAGAGAGGAAATTACACTGAATAAGTCTAAAGACGTTCAAAATGATTTACAAGACATCCTCAGCATCATAATTTACTGTAAACTTCACATTGATAAGTGAATGCGTGTCAATATGGAAACCAAGAAACCCACAAAGCAGCTTAAATGATGCCAAGGATAGGAAGCAATGCTTTTAATCCCGTCATAAACCTCAATAATAATATAAAAAGGGCCACTAACTAGGTCTAAATCACCAGAGGTAGAACCCAAATTTGAACAAAAAATATAGAATTTCAATTAACAAGCATGCATAAATTATGATTGAGCTCCAAATTACAGGAAAAAATGTAAAAAGCATTTCGAAAGAATTCAACATGGACTGCCAGTTCATAGTGGCATGTGTGCAATAAAATAAACTACAGGACATGCCCTGATTCATCAATACATAAAACAAAAGCAGTTTAGAACAAGTTGGACAATCTCCTGTGAAAACCAACAATTTCAAATCAGAATATTTTTGCAAACACGCATATATATTAGATGAATAAGTTCTCAAAATAACCCCTCAATTCTATGAAACAGTAGAAACGCCACACCAAGTACAAACCTTCTGAATCACACACAATAGAGTATAGAATAAAAAAAAAGGATGCAAAACAAAAAACTAAAAAGAATTATTCCTCGTCCAATTCAATAACACACCATCGATTACATGTGGAACAACCTACAGAAGTGTGACGACACCAAAAATCAATAGCAGCTAATCACTAAACAGAAATAAACTCACTATGTCTACTCGGTCAACCCATCAATACCAAAATCCATAAACACCAANCCTACAGAAGTGTGACGACACCAAAAATCAATAGCAGCTAATCACTAAACAGAAATAAACTCACTATGTCTACTCGGTCAACCCATCAATACCAAAATCTTTATATCACAAAAAGCATCCACACCATTCAAATTGCAACAGATCCATCACAAAATTTAAATAAAAAAAAAACACAGAGAAACAAAAAGGAAGAAAGCAAAAACAAAGTACCTTGTGGAAAGCAGAGCAAGGACTAGCATAGGAGGCACGATCTTAAGCATTAAAGCCCTCTCTAGGAACTTCCATGCTAAGGGAACATTGTTATCCCAGCAAATATGTGAAACTAAAACGTTGGCAAGCTCAGTAGAAGGCAGAGACACCCCAGCAGAGCTCAAATACGAAGAAAGCTGAATTGCCCATATCAGAGGATCACTACCCTTCTCTTGAGCCACCTTTGTTAGCTCCAGAACAGTGTCCCATAGACTGGACTGTGTAAGCACAGCCATTAATGGGTCATACGGAGAGAGAGAGAGAGAGAGAGAGTTGATGGGAAAGAGTGGGAGGTTATGGCAGGTAGTAGCAAGTGGGGTTTCATGTATGTATAGGCACAATATGGTTGGAGTCGAAATGAAAAGTCAAACCTGGGTGAGGGGCTAAAAGCAAAAAAAAGAAAAAAGAAAGTGGGGCATTCATGGGATTATAATATCAGTAACCGTAAGAGCGTTGAGATCTTATAATCTCACGTAATCCCCTAATTTAATAATGTGTAAATTAAAATAATCCGATAAATTTTTATTTATTTTTATTTTGAAGTGGTCATTGGCGACTAGGCATAATAACCCCTAAAGACATTATTTTGAGATTTTTATCAATCGTAGAATATTTGATTTGAACCCTAACTATTGATCTATAGTAATCGAATACATTAACGCACTATTATCGAGAACAAACTAAACATTCAACCCTTTTATCAACATCTAGTTTACAGGTATTATTATCATAAATAAATTCAAACCCATCACCACCAGAGGAGAACGAGACATTCACCTTCTACTAAAGTCAATTAGGTTACGACCTTGGTGTTGAATGGTGATTTAAAAGGCTATACAAAGGGCAAGAAATACTTGTTGATCCCTCTTAATTCTAGAAGTTATTAATAGTTACTGTATTTTACCATCAATTGTTATTTTTATTTGAGGTTATTATATGCTAATAAAACTTGCAATGAGACAAAATAAGTTTAATGACAAAAAATAGAACAAAAATGAAAATTTTCCAGTTACAGTATTAATTAACATAATCTATAGTATTTTTTTTAATACTATCTTGAATGGTATGATTAAAATGTTGATATAATCTATATAATAAAGTACAATATAATTCAAATCTCAAAAGATAAACAAAATGATTTTTACTTTTCGCAGTTGAGATTTCTTTAAATTTTATTTTAAAGTTAATCCGACGTTTAATATTAACTCTCCAAATTTAATAAAAAAAATATGACTCTAAAAATGTATTTGGGGTGACTTTTTAAAAATACTTTTAAAATTTTTAACTTCTCACAAATACTTCTTTTTTTTTTAAAATAGTGTTTAAAACCACNCGTTTAATATTAACTCTCCAAATTTAATAAAAAAATATGACTCTAAAAATGTATTTGGGGTGACTTTTTAAAAATACTTTTAAAACTTTTAGCTTCTCACAAATACTTTTTTTTTTTTAAATAGTGTTTAAAACCATCCTACCACCCCCACCCCACCACTACCGCCCCACCACCAAACTAACCTCACACCACCATCACCACTATCACTGCTATCACCATTGTCGCCACCCCACCACCACTTTTGCCACAACAAATAACATTGCTACCGCCACCACCAATGTCGCCACCCCACCCACCGCCTCACAACCACCATCACAATTATCACCGCCCCTGTCACCCTCTGTTGCCCCACTACTATCACTATCGTCATCACCCCACCACTATCTTTGTCATAACAACCACCACTACTGTCCCTTATCATCACCACTGTCGCCACTCCACCATCATTGTCGCCACCACTCCTACTGCCCCATCACCGTCACCTCCACCCACTATCACCCTACCACCATTGTCACTGTCCTATCATCACCTCTACCTCCACTACCCCTACTGTCTCACCACCACTACCCCTATCGCCCCACCACCATTACCACCACTGTCATTGTTGTCAACCCACCATCGCCATTATCGTCCATCACCACTACCACCCTTCACTCTTACTACAATCGGTACTTAAATTCATTTTTCTCTCTTCTATTTTTATGATTTAATTTTAGGTGTGAATACAAATATATTTATTGTTGACCATTTTTTTTATTACTCGGTGTCTTTAGGCACAAACAATAACTAGTGTTTCAATAAGATAACATTTATGTTTTTTTTTTCTATAATTGGTCTAATATGNTACAATAATCGTATCATCATTACCTTAATCTCTTAACTCGTATAGTTTAACTCACTCAATTTTTTTTCTTTTTTGTTTTTTTCTACCTTTTTTTGTTGATTTGTGAGAAGAAGATGAACTGTCAGATCAAGATAATTTTAATGCTGAAAATAATTTAGTATCTCCCCGTAAGCTTTAAAGTGAGAAGGTGTAAGCATGCATAATATGAAAAGAAGAAATTGCTAATGAAACGGTGAAGATAACAAGTTTTTGCAATCATTATCCTAATCATCAAAAAGGGTGTTTGTATTAATGAAGAAGTAAATTAGGTGAAATGATTTGGTCATCTATATGATGACAAATAAGTGCCATGGAAGGATCTAAGTTGGTGGGAATTGAAGGCAATGGGAAGGGAGAAGAAGGGGGGGGGGGACATTGTCGAAAATATTGCCCTTATTTATGATGCTAAGATCAAATTCGAGTCATGAAAACAAGTTTNTACTTAAATTCATTTTTCTCTCTTCTATTTTTATGATTTCATTTTAGGTGTGAATACAAATATATTTATTGTTGACCATTTTTTTTATTACTCGGTGTCTTTAGGCACAAACAATAACTAGTGTTTCAATAAGATAACATTTATGTTTTTTTTTTCTATAATTGGTCTAATATGCTAAAGTTAAACCTAATGAGGGGCAATATTGTCATTAGAATACCACAATAGCTTTTCATTTAGTTGATTTTATTTTGAATTACTTATATTAAACCCTTGAATAATGAAAACATCATAATATCTTAATGCCAATTGTCGCCCTCGACATGAGTGAAGAGGTAAGAGAAACTTTTGTTCTTATTGTTTAAGCAATGGTGATTAGATTCAAAGATCGACATAGGAAATGACTCCATATCCATCCACTATTAGATAAGAGGAAGAAGAAAAAATAACTAACTTGATTACGATTTTAACATAAAATAACCATTTGAACTAAATTATAGATACCCTTTGTAGGTTTATGGGATTTTATGGTGTAATTAAAGTTTATGGCCCATAATTAGGGGTATTAATTGAGACGAGTTATTTGGATAGAACTCGACTCGAGCTCAACTAGTGTTTTAAACGAATTGAGTTTGAATAATTTTTTAGGCTCATTTTTTTATGCTCGATTCTTTGATATGTAAAATAGTCGAGTTATTCGGATTCGGGTGCTAAACAAATCGAACTTTAACAATTTTTTAGGCTCGTTTAAGAAAATAAGCTCGATAGATTTGGGCTTAAACTCGGCTCAATTAATGCCCTTACCCACAATGGGACCTGGAAAATTAGGATCTATAGGGTGACATTTTTATTGGAGGATGGTGAAGAGTATAATTCATTATTAGCATATTAATTGAAATCATGGCACATTTAAGGAAAAAAAACAGTATAATTCTTGTTAGATTTCATAGCCAACTCTTTTTTTCTAATTCTTTTATAACTAAGGTCATGAATGGTATTTGATTGATTTAAACTCTATTGTTTCATCCTCTAACTAAACTAGTCAACCGGTGAGGGTAGGCAACTCATTAAGCAGAGTCTAAAATGTTAGCAAGACCAGCTGCGCTATTGAAAGGCTCTTTGCGGATTAAAGAGTTTTTTTAAAAAAAACTTATAGTGGGTAGAGTTAGGTAGAGGTGATGAGGACATTTTTGTCAAAGATGGTCTTAGTGATGCTAAGGTTGCTTTAGGCAGGAAAAGGCACCTCTTTTTATCTCCACCTTTTCCCCAATGAGGGCAAGTGGGATTGTAGGGTTGCTTTATTCTTCTACTTTTAAGTTGTAAATGATGATATATTAGTAGATTAGCACTAGTAAAGCTTACTCGTGCCTCTTTAGTCAATGTAAAAAGTTTCAACAGAGCTCCTTTGGATCAATTGACTAATAGTGTTTTAGTGATTAACATATTGAGATCTTATGATGCTCATAGTAGATAAGTGCAAATTTAAAAAGCAAGTGATTAAAATAGTTCTCAGATACCAAGAAAAAAATACAATAATCGTATCATCGTTATCTTAATCTCTTAACTCGTATAGTTTAACTCACTCAATTTTTTTTCTTTTTTGTTTTTTTCTACCTTTTTTTGTTGATTTGTGAGAAGACGATGAACTGTCAGATGAAAATAATTTAGTATCTCCCCGTAAGCTTTAAAGTGAGAAGGTGTAAGCATGCATAATATGAAAAGAAGAAATTGCTTATGAAATGGTGAAGATAACAAGTTTTTGCAATCATTATCCTAATCATCAAAAAGGGTGTTTGTATTAATGAAGAAGTAAATTAGGTGAAATGATTTGGTCATCTATATGATGACAAATAAGTGCCATGGAAGGATCTAAGTTGGTGGGAATTGAAGGCAATGGGAAGGGAGAAGAAGGGGGGGGGGGGGGACATTGTCGAAAATATTGCCCTTATTTATGATGCTAAGATCAAATTCGAGTCATGAAAACAAGTTTTGTCTCATGCAGTGATAAATCTACATATACGTAACTTTCTTAAACCCCGCGATAAGATGACAAAAACAAGCTCGCATCTTTGACTTGGATTTTTACCTTCTTATTGTGTAGAATGCTACGACATACTTTCATACTTTATGCAGCAAATGGATCTTGAGAAGCAAAAAGATGGTGCCATGCTACCTTGACCAACACAACCAAACCCAACCCACACACACACTAGTGTTAGATCTGTCCACTTCATAGAAAAATAATCTGTCAATATTCCCTCTGTACATAACATTTGGAGGGGAGTGAGAAAATGATGCAGGCCATACCCACTCACCCAAAAAAAAAAAAAAGCCCTTCATTCCCTTCTCCCTCCATCTGTTGATATTGCTTTGATTGAATAATCACGCTTGTGACGACTCAAACGGGTTAAACTTGCGATTCACTTTTCGATTAAGACTCAAAATTGACCCAATCAGAACATAGCTTTCTCAAATTTTGTATGGCACAATACCAAATTTGGTAGTTCAACTCATGTGCATGGTTGCAGGCAGCCTTAACCCCTACTAAAATTTGATATTTTCTTGTCTTTTCCCCATCTCTAGCCAATAAACTAGTATAGAAGTGGTCATTTTGTCTCTCTTCCTCATACTATTTCATTTATCCGAATAATATTCATGATAGTGTGGATAAAAGCAACAAAAAGTGGATGTAAGGTGCAAACAAAATGATAACATAGACATTCCACCAAAAGAAGATTAATTATGTAACTTAATTGTTTAACACCTTTCAAATAACATGACAAGCATTGAAAATCACAGCTAGAAACAACGATATGCCCAAAAAAATCGTACACAATCCCTGGGACGGCCATATTCTCATATATTATAAGATTCGCTTGTAAAATTATCAGATTGAAGATGATGAACAGATATATTTGAACTTAATAGTAAACGGCATCAACTATAAACAATGGGTTACCATGAAGAATAGTAACAAAAATTGGATGCCCTTAAGCAGCATCGGGGTTGTACTTGTACTCAGGTAAAGGAAACTTGGTAACTAGAAGTCCTCGTCCAGTTTAAAGACAAAACTTTTTCCACCATCTTGGAGGCTTGCCATAACCGAAGCCTTCTGATAATCGCCCACCCTTCTCTCAAAGAAATTTGCTTTCCCTCTGCTCAATCAAGAAATTAAATAGATCAGAAACATCAAGTTTTAAACATAGTGGGGAAAAAAAAAGAACAAAAAGGAATCTTGTGTCAAAGATCCTTTGGTTCACGGGTCAAAAGCGAAAACATGACACTTCAGTAGACCAAAGCAAATGTCATTCAGTTGGTGTTAAACCACCACTTCTAGGATTCGGTTGGTGTTCAACCACCACTTCTAGGATTCAGTAGACCAAAACAAATGCCATTCACTTGGTGTTCAACCATCACTCAAGCTCACATCTAACTACCAATACTAAACATCGGGTAACCCCCAGCCTTTTCAGACAAAAACCTAAGTCCACTTTCCTTCTTTTTTCTTGCTTCTACTTTTCTTTTCTGATGGTGTGTAATGGTAAATTGAACAGAATCGCTGAGTTGTTTAAACAGAGAATTTAGATCTCCAAATAGCTCAGCCTTTTCTTATGCCTAGCTTGGTGATAGAAAATGGGGATTAGAAACCAACATCTATCAATTTTCATATATCTCGGATTATGTAACATTAGGACTGTAAGACGTTAAGATCAAGAAACTAAACTTACTCCACAACTTTGAATGGTGGAAAGCCTACTGGCAGAAGTCTTCAATAATCAACATATCCAGCCAAAAGGATATCTGAAGAGGCAGGCATACAGTACAAGGTGCTGATGGGTTGCACGAGTCTCATGCTTTCTATTTCAGGTACTAGTGAGCCTGTGCTTCAACTTATGCAAGATTGCCTAGCACTGTAAAGCCTAAGTTTTGGTTCCAAAACTCGGTGCAAAATGTTTCATCCTATTTACTTGATAAATCACGGTAGTCATAAAGTGTAAAGACTTGATCAACAGGATCTAATATCAGATGCCTATGTTCATGGATACTTACTGCAAAGAGATGAACTCCATCCAATCAAACGGATTCTCTACATTGTATTTCCTCTGGCACCCTAAAGCAACCTGAAAGAGAGAAACTTTTGATAGTCCAGAGGGGATTAAACAACCAAAATAATCCCATTAGATCAAAAGCCAAAAAAATGACCATACCAACAGACGGTCGGCGACAAACTTTATATATTGGCTCATAAGAGTTGCATTCATGCCAATCAATGCACATGGGAGGGCATCACAGACAAACTGGGTTTCAATTTCAACAGCTTCATGCACAATGTGATGAACTTTTTGCCATAGCAGCTGCTTCTGTAGTAAACTGTAAATAACAATTATTTACGAAATTATTCAGTCTGTACAATTCCCCCCCCCCCCCCCCCCCC